CATGCTGCCATCTAGTGGTGTGGAAAATACACCATCAGCACAGAAGACATTAAATCTCTGGAATAGCATTACATTCACATTTATTTTACAGGTGCTTTTGTCCAAACGACCAGATATGCGAGGTATGCTCGAGGTCAGAGAGCATACAGCAACCTGGGAACAGGTGGAGTTAAGGGCCTTGATCAAAGGCCTAATGAAATGATTACTCTACTCCATGAGATTCGAACCCATGACCTACTGGACATAAATCCCTAAGACACCCTAACCCACTGAGCCCCAGGCGACAGTCAAAAAAGTCTCATTTCCCGACCTGGGGCGCGTTTCCTGAAACCTTCTTAACGCTACGTGGTTCGTACGCTCTGGCGTGTCTCTGGAAAAGTTCTTAGTTAAGTATATCTTCCGTAAGATATTCCTTCGTAAAGTTGGTCTCAGCCTCTCTAAGCTGTTTCTTATCGCTGTCATCGGCTCATACTGCTCATTTAAAATAACAGAAACATTGTTAAGGGTACAGTTTCATAACCAAACATCACTTAACTGAAAAAATAGTTGATCCATATGATTTAGTCTGATACACGACTACAGTCTTCGTTAGGTTTCGACCATGGCCAGTGAACAGGCCATGTAATGCGTGGATACATAAGGAATAGATAAGGAATGCGCTGTTTATTTTATTATTGGGAAGGTGGGGGGGGGGGGAACATGCCCCCCCAATCGACACCCCTGGAATGCACACACCTCTCTACATGTGCCAAAGTCACAGTATATCAAAATGTTGGTCCATGAAGTTGATTAGAGTTGACACTGCATGTTCATTTAGATATAAGCACAATATTTTCCCCCCCAAAAAGTACCCTGAAATAATCATTAGCAGTCAATAATGAAGCACACGGGACATTATCCTATGTGAATAAATGAAGTTATATTTATATAGTGCTTTCAAGACATCCAAAGTGCTTTATAGTAATGCGACTTTTCTGTCGGCTATTGTCCCATTGCTTGTTCCAGTACCAATGACATGCACACTTATTGGTGCACGCTGGTGTTTTATAGGACAAATAAAGATAAAATGGTGATACTACAATCTGGTGAGGTGGGTTCGGGAAACCAATCGGCGAAAATGATATTTACGGTTAAATAATTCAGTTTGATTTTTATTTTTTAGCTTCTCCCCAGTACTGATTAATGCAACATTTCGAAAGGTTCCTGCGGTGTTATTTTTATAAAGAACGCCGCTTTCTCTCATGCGACAGCCAAGCAGTTGCTGCATGGAGGGAATAATCAATTCTCGAGCCATCGAGTTTCGGCGCCTATTAAGGTCGCACTTAAGAAGCTCTCCCTTACACAATCTCTTTAGAGATTGTTCGGGAAATAGATGAAGGAAATTAAATGCCTTTCGTCAGCTATATCTTTAGAGTCTTCGTAAGATGCTAAGAGTTACTGTTATCGGGAAACACACCACTGAACATTACATTTTCCATTATTGCCTTTGTTTTAAAACAGCTCCTTGTACATAGTAACAATAGCTATATTAACCTGAAGTGTTTCTATACTTCAAGTGGCGAAATGTATTCATTTCACTGACATTGAGTCCCGTGTTATACTCTAAATCTATGTATTTTTTTCTCTCCTTTTTTCAAGTATATAAAAAGGCAAGATCCTTCTTCACTGGAACCCTATCGATCTTTGGGCTGATGCATCTCATGTTCCTTAAGCTCTGAATCAAAACAACCATCTCAGAAGTATCAGCACGCATTGATTAGTGTGGACGACTTCGGATTCACCTTTCAGACTTCTGACCTCCTACTGTGACACACTGAGGAGCGAGACAGTGAACCCTTGTTCTGACCTCGGAAATCAACATATTTAGCAGTCAAACATTTTGAGTCGGGGTAAACAGCTTATATGAGGTACGAGACTTAATCCTTTTTCAATTTTTTTGAAGGCTATAGCCATTGTGCTTCAGAAAATAGTCAAAATCAACTGCCTGGTTGACCATTTAAGTCAGAAAAACCAGAAATTATGTCTGGGTTGGTCTTAGAGCAGGGGAAGGCAATCTTATCAGCAAATGGCCAGTGTGTGTGTAGGTTTTTGGTATAACCTTTAGGTCAGCTGTTCAATCCATGGTGTGAGGACTCTTCAGCCAATCAGTCCTCTGATTGGTAATCTAATTAGGGAGTTGCCTACCTGCCTCTTAGAGCATCCACTGAGCCTACCCCCAGAAACAGAGATATTGTAGGTCAGAAAAAAATCTTTCTGGGGGGGCTGATCATTTTATCCAGGACACACTGGGTTGTATGAATTCATGGGGTACTGAAAGCCTTGTCCTCGTGTACATGGATATTTAAAAAAAAAAAACTAAAAAAAAACATAGCTTTTCTATGCCTTTTGGCCTTTCATCCACATACAAACACTGAAAACAGTTCTTTTGTAAAACAGACGGAGATTTTTTTTTTTTTTTTTTTAATAACGGAGGAAAAACACTGTTTTTAAAAATACCCATATATGTGTGGAAAAGGCCAAAGATGAGTGTGGGTTGTGCTCACCGGCAGTGACTATCTGCACAGTCCATGGCTTCTTAGACATCAGTGCCTGATAGGCTCTCCACAGGCCTGCCATACTGTACACTGGAAAACAAAAACACAAACTGGATAGAGTCAGCTGAACCGACAAAAATCGAGAAAAAAAAAAATCTTTACACTGTATTATGCAAAGTGTGTAAAAATATTAAGGCATGATTTGGAAAATTAACTCTGATTTAAACCTTTTAATTATCATTACTTCCAATGAAATGTGACGACAAACACATACTTTCTACCTAAATTATTTGTCAAATAAAAAAAAATGAGAATTAACACTTTCGTGTTTCGTCCATTGTCTCTCGGGCTATTTATGAGGATCGTGTAGGCGAGGAAAAATAAATTACAAAAAAAAATCTGAAATCCGCATCTGAAAGAATATTTAACCGATTAATTACTGCAACTCGCGTAACGATCCGCAGCTGGAAGGTTGCAAGCCAAATCACAGGTTAAGGACGAAAATGTGCTGTCAAAAAAAAAAAAAAAAAGTCCACATCTGATACTTCATAACCTAAAACAAGACAACCTGTCATGGGAAATAAGTGGTAACATCGTTTCTTTATAAACGGAGGATGAACACCAAGCAAACAATGTTATGTAAAGGCTTGACAAGGCCGGTTTATTGCAGATATCGGTCAGCACATTCCTGTTTTTCTAACGTTATTTTAATGTGTTTAATCAGCATGGGGAAAATAGAAGCCCAAACAGACTTGGCTGAGCAGCTCTTTAATCCCCGGGCATTACGGGCACACGTGTCCGTCCCGCGGTCCTGAAACTCAGCTAACCGACATGTCAGCAGGGGAAACGTAACTTAATGCCACTTACAGTTTGCGTAGAACTCAAATTAAAATCAAACAATTGCAAAAACGCGGCGTCAAGGAAAAATAATATCCTGACATTTGGAATTAAAATGTAACACATACACTACAAATGGTTATACAATCACACACGATATAGCCTGGAAAAAACAGCTCAACTTTTAGACATCTTCCTAAATTTGAATTCCATGTTATACTCATGTGCTTCCTAGCTAGTCAGCAGTTCAAACCATATTCGGCCATTTGACCATCATCTATAATGAGGCATTAAGTTTGCACACTTGAATTCAGCACCCCGGCGTGCGCATAACATTGAATATCAATATGAAACTTCAACGTGCCTGAGCGCTGCTAGCGACGATCCTCATGGAGGTCGGTGACGTCACTTCCACAGAAGATGAAGCTTCCGAACGGCTAATAGCGCCTTCTTGCGGCCAGAGAGGTCGCTGCGGGGACTTAAATGGTCGAGGCTTGTGCTTCAGATTAAAAAAATGTGGGTTCAGTGTTTGATTTTCTATAGGATTTACAATAAAACAAATAATCAATTTTGACTTTTAAACATTTACTGTTAGAGACCGAGTTTGCAATAAAAATACCGACAGAAGTAATATCATTTGTGATTGAGGCAAATCTGATAGCTTTGAAGGCTAGACCAGGATTTCACTTGAGCACAGAGTTCTTGCTGTGTGCTGATTGGTCAGTCTCCTATAATCATGCATGTGTCACTAATGCTAATGTGAAACAGTTGAATGAGTCTTTCACTCAAGGAAACAAACTAGTCAAAGCACAAGAAAAGCTGAACTATTTGGCCGAGCACAGGAGCCTCTCAATTTGAAAGTAGTTTATAAAACCTGAAGTAGCTCAAAGTGTCCTCCCTGACATGGATTATCTGGTCACCCTATTGAAGGCCGACTACTTTGTCAAACCGTTGTGTTGGTCCGTGTGTCTGTATGTGTATATACATATTTATATTTACTCATTGACAAAACAAAGTTAAGCACCCAGAAGTAATGGTCCGATCTGGATGTAATTTGGTACAAGGCAGGTACCAAGAAGCATTTTGAACACACTGACATTAAACTAATATTTTATGTTAAATGTGGGGGGGTCCGAACGAATAATTATGAAATGTGGGGGGGGGGGGACACGTCCCCCTCAGATTTAATGGCGGAGACACCCATGGTACAAGGGCAGACCAGAAGTGGGTATGTAAATGATTCGATTTGCAAGGAGCTGGCATGTCCAGTCACCAGACACAGAGGATGCCTCGCAGAGGCATTAGACAGCATTAGCAGCACTTGACAGTTTGATAGTGGTTGCATTGTGGGTTTGCATGAAGCTGGGGGGTCATATTGTGCAATTGCTCCGCGTGTGAGGCATTCAGATGTCACAGTCGCCCGATGTTGGAACCAATGGGCACCTGAGGGCACCCACACACATTGTGAAGGTTCCGGTCACCCAAGACAGACCATACCAAGGGAGGATCGTCGTATTGTGTGCCAAGCATTACAGAACCCCATGACATCTGCGCCTGCCATCCGGACACAGGTATTGGACTCTCTACAACACCCCGTGTCATCCTGAACTCGACGACTGGCATCAACCGGACTACGGGTTCGCCGTCCCATGCGTAGGCTGCCGTTAACACCAGCGCAGAGATGGCTGCCTTTGCAGTGGAGCCGTAACATGGAGGCATGGACTCATGACGAGTGGCGTCCTACCATGTTCAGCGATGAATCTCGGTCCTGCATTACCACGGATGACTGTCATGTGCGCGTATGGCAATGACGAGGGGAGAGGACCAATCCTGTAGAAAGACTCACCGGCGTTACTCCTGGCATCACGGTGTGAGGAGCCAGAGTGTGACTTCAGGTCATCTCTGACAGTGATTCGGGGGACTCTGACAGCACAGCGCTACGTCAGTGACATCCTGCGTCCACATGCCTCCTGAGACAGCACCCTGGTACAGTCTTTCAACAAGACAACGCCCGTCCACACAGGGCACTCGTGCCTATGGACTGCCACCGTCACGCTGAGATCCTCCTGTGGACGGCCAGGTCCCCCGATCTTTCCCTAATGAGCATCTGCAGGATCTGGAGGGCCAGTTACAACAGGAAGCTAAAAAAATAAAAAGGCACCTGCATTCCAAAATACACGTTTTTTTTTTTACTATTTCTTGTAGCGTTGCCGGCAAACGTATCGTCTGCGTATGACTGCAGAGATTTACTTCCAGCAGGCTGAATAATGGCTAATTACGGTATTCGATCACAGTGGATCATAAAACATACACAATAATGTTAATAAATCCGTGTAACAGGCTGTGCTTTCAGACAGGTAGAAATAATGTTTCTCTCAGGCTCGTTAAACAAGTCACCTACGAGCGTCGTCTTGAGCCATTAAGTAATTAATTTTTTTACACAGTTGACTATATGTAAAGTTCTAACAAAATATGTAGAGAACCCAAAGTCTCATATTAAATCAAGGACCCCAAATGTGTGTTTCTATGACCTTTATTTTACTCATGTAGACACAAAATGATCAAACTATCACTAATAAAAATCGCTTTAAGCAGAGAGTAAACAAAACCTCTTGTAACGGTAATGTCGTGATGTTTCAGTCTTCAAGTTCACTTGCAGCTTAATTTTTGGTCAAAGCAGCTGTTAACCTATTTTAAAATGAACGAGGCATAAAAACTTGGCATTTTTAGCTTTAAAAATGTCATATCGTCACATTCAAGGACTGGGGGCTGAAAACCCTTTAACACTACTCAACAAATATTAACGCAGTCTACAAACGATTCATGGCAGTGATCTACATAACGGGAGTAACTATCCACAAAATGAGTGTCTGTGCCGTATTTTTAAGTGGTTAAAACAAACTAGTATGCTCACAATATCAAGTAGTTAAAATTAAAGGCAGGATGCGTAGTAATTGGTCAACAGGACCATCTGCGGTACCATCGGCACTCCGGCTTAACAAGCTGCTTGCTTTTCACCAAAACCAAGTTATAATGGACAGGTTCTCCTCTGAAGAAGAGTTATAAGGCCCAGACTAGATTAGAACAGCACACTTACAGAGAAACATTCCCCGACCAGCAGTCCAAAGATAGACTGTGTGCTTGATTACGTCCGACCTCTGGACATAATGCAAAAAGGAAAAAAAAAGAAAAAAAAAAAGATTCAGCTCGTTTAGTGCCACAGCCGGAGCTTGTTAACGCCAAACACTGGCACCAAACGTCGGGTCACGCTTTCTGGGTCAGATGCTATAAAGCACAACCTGATGCGAAGCCAGCTGCCGCTCGATCCAGCAGCAGAACGCATGGTTGTCTTGGCTCCGAGTCAGGACCCGCTGCACCTCACTATCGCTGCGCTCTCTTACCAACCTGGGATTCAAGTTTCCGGCTATAAAGAGACTGCGCTCTTCAAAGACTGTTTACACCAAGACACGGCAACACCCAGAATGCAGTGAGTACAGACGTCCCTGATCATTAAATGAACAGGGTAAATAACTTAAGTGGAAGTGTCCTTCAAGTATGATAACCCAGAAAACTGGGTTTAAGGTGGAAGTCCATACACCTAAACATCGGCTTCAGTTGGAACACAAAGACAGAGAGAATCCTAAGCCACAGGGCACCTGGCTCTTGATACCATTTTCACTGCACATCCAGTTATCCAACCCCCCCCCCCCAAACCACAGCAGTCCCTTTCACGAAGGGATTATCCACGATGCCCTTTCTTTAAACCATAGGAATAATTCTGAAATTAAACCAGGTTTGAATGGGCAGAGTCTTCAGCTGGGTAGAGACATTTTAAATGGCTAGTTAATTTATTTTACAGTACACTGCATGAAGGCCTTCACTGACACCCTCTTCTCACATCAAAGATCCCTGTATCATGGTGTCCAGCGGTGGTTTGTTTTGCCAAGTCGTCCCACGTGCATCCCATCTCATCACGGCTCCTGCACAATCACAGCCGGGCCCCGATTTCCAAACCTAACCTGAAACCTCTTAAAACCATTGTAACGTCTCTCCTATATGCTTGCTAGCAAAGTCTATATAATATATTAGAGTGGAGTAGCAGTGGGGGAACAAAAATGTAACGTCCAAGAAGCAGACTGTCGCCCACCCCTAGCACGTCCATATGCACAGAGCTGCTGGGAATTAGTGGAGCTGCTGAACTCAAAATCAGGGGCCAGAAGACCTCTAATCGGGTGGTAGGCAGACCAAGGACCTTCAAGACCAGAGCGGTTCCTTCTGAGAGTGCAGCAGGGGTTTGCTGCCTGCAACTAGGCTGGAGGTAAACCCAAAAAACTAAAGTCGGTCAGTCATGCAGAGGTCAGTTCACCAGAAACCGAAGGTCGAGTGAGAAGCTAAACCACTCGTAGGAGCGAGGGGTTGCACCAAGATGTCTGGGCTATGGAGGGGGGGACGGGCAGGGCGGCAAATGCCAGGGGTGGAGATGCGTCGCGGGGCACAAACGGGGCAGGGGCCGGCTGCATCCTCAGTGGTCCATGCCCTCGTCAGTCTCATACCAGTCAGAAGGAGGATCTGTCCCAAAGTATCGATCTCCGAAGTTTCCTACAGAAAACAAGCAGCACAGGAGTTTGCTATGTACTGTGCAAAAGTCTCAGGCAGTCAAAGAAAATGATGTTAAAATGATCTTCATGATGGTGTAAAACTATGATGCGTTAGTGTCTCAGCTTAGTCATTTCTAAATGCCTCCTAAAGTCACCCCAGGATCTGCAGCCACCCTCCGACACACACAAGCACGTCTTTACCTCAAAAAAAAAAATCCTTTTCGTTTTTGTTGTGTCACTCTTAATTTGCAAGGTGGCATGTTAAATTGTATTTTTCGTTCTGAGCAAACGTATGCTTACTACCCAGATAAACAGTTCCAAGAATTTCCTTTGACTGCCCAAGACTTGTGCACAGGTCTGTACCTTTAATCTGTCCGATTTGGCTATAGGTGTCCCTAATATCTGCAGGGGAAGCTGTCGCGCTCACCTATCCCTGGGATGATGTGGAACTCGTCGTTGACCTTCTTGTCCACAGCGGTGGTGATGATGCGCACCTTGGGGAAGGCGTAGGCCACGGAGTGGACGCCCATCTCCGCCATCAGCAGCGACAGCAGGAAGATCTTGTCCTCCTGCACGTCGTGGTCCTGCAGAGGATGGAAGGGGACGTGCGTCACCGGGCAGGTGGTGCTTCCTGGACCAGGTCTCCTCAGTCTCTCAATCCCAGTCACCGATGACAGATGTCCTACTGGGCGTAGACAGATTCTGGCTACCGAGCTTCACAGAACTGGCAGGAAGACACCAGTAGTTACTTCTGGATAAGAATATGGTAGAAGACGTATCTCCCAGATAGGCTGGGCCCTTCCAGCGGGATGGGAGTGCATGGCCTGGGTATTGCCTGACAGAACAACATTTCCTGTCTTGTTTCAGTAAAAGGTGTGTTCGATTTCTATCAAGAAGCATGAATCATCCAGCCTGCCTCCTCAGTTATTTCACTGGGGGTACAGCAAGCTCCCCCCTCTCCCATAATGTCCCAGTACCGACAGGATACACAAGGCTTTGATTACACTGTCAGCCACCGGCAGGTTCATCCTAATAAGAACTGAAAGTAACTAATGGAAAGGTGGCTGAGCCTGTCAGTGTCCCCCCCCTCCCCCACGGCGACGATGGTGCGCACCAGCAGGACCCGGACGGCCATGAGGGCCGCAGCCCCCGTGGACACGGTGCTGTCCATCAGGATCACGTAGTCCTCACTGATGTCTTTAGGGAGACGCAGGTAGTGAAGCTGGAAGATAAACAGCAGCATTAACAAGGGGAGTACAGCAGGGGGCGCAGCGGTAAAGGATCCACACTCGCCATCACCAAGCGGCCCGAACGCCCCCCCCCCATGAGCAAACGAGCAAAACCTACATAACCTGTCAGCTACGCATCCCATAGGCACCCAAAAATAATACCATTCCAGTTTCTTATCCAATACATTTAATTTAAATAATTAAAAAAAAGAACAATGAAGACAATATATACTTAACCACTTAAGGGAATTATTTTAGGTAAAGCAAGTGTATCCCTGCCTTATTTGTATAGCAGAGTGTCTCGCTATTAATTAATTTAGGTGCAGAACTCCTTCCTCAGACCCCCCCCCCCTGAGAAGGAGGGCACCTGCTTCCTGCCCAACAGCCTCACACGACATTCCCGACGCTCCGGGCCGAGGGGGGAGACGTCACGGTGCAAAGCGGGCACTGAGAGACCCCCGGAAGCACGAGTTTATCTGTGCTCTGTAAGGGTGACCCAGCGGTACATGCTGCGTAGGTGATGTCACAGGTCACACGGCACCTCAGGCTCGCCCGTGTTGTGGTTGGTCTGAATGAGGATCTTCCCCAGCCGGATGTCTTTGCACACGGCGGTCAGGGCCTGCTCCATGGTCTCGCCCGCCCTGAGGACGGACACGCCTGCGATCTGAGGACAAGCACACGGTGTTATCAGGCCAAACAGCAACGGCCACGAATCCTCCCCTAAACCCCCCCCCCTTTAAGGGAACCTACCCTTTTGCCACCGAGTCTCTTCCCCTCATAAATGCTTCCTTGGGGGGTCTCCACAGACACCGTCTGGAGAAGGAGAGCAGAGAAAGAGAGAGTCACACATCCGCGTTGACTTCCTGGGCACAACGGAAAACGTCAAGCCTCTGCTGAAGTCACATGCAGAAAAAGGAGGAGTTTCATTGGCACGATGGTGTCGTCTTCGTCCGTCACACGGGTGGCACCGGACTGGGGGGAGACATCATTCCGGCTTTATTAGACTCACCTCCAGTGGCAGGAAGGACAGGGCGTGTTCGATCAGGAGCCGCATTAATCTCTTGGAGTAGAAAATAAACTCGTCCCGATTCGTGTCCTTATTCCTGAGAAAACCAGAAGAGGGCGCTAAAAAACGTCACGCACCAGGGCATCCGACGGGCTGTTGGGTCCGAATGGCCCAACTGGAATCACGCCCCTTAAAATGCATGACCTGCAGAGATGATGGTTTAGTTTGGTGGCGGCGGGGCATGGTACCTGATGATGGTGTGCATTCCTCGCACCTGCGGCGTGCTCTCCATCACGCTTAGCGTGGCAGGCAAAGGCTGCCCTTGGTGGGCGGAAGCCAGGGCGGATCTGGGGGGGGGGG